AACAGCTGCAGTACATTCAAAATGCAGCAGCTCGAGTCCTGACTAGAACCAGGAAGTACGACCACATTAGTCCTGACTAGAACCAGGAAGTACGACCATATTAGTCCAGTTCTCAGGTCTCTGCACTGGCTTCCTGTGGCTCAGAGAATAGACTTTAAAACAGCTCTGCTTGTGTACAAGTCTCTCCATGGCCTCGCACCAAAATATATTAGTGACATGTTAGTCCCATATGAACCGGCCCAGACTCTGAGGAGCACAGGGACTGGCCTCCTGCTGGGACTCTGAGGAGCACAGGGACTGGACTCCTGCTGGGACTCTGAGGAGCACAGGGACTGGACTCCTGCTGTGACTCTGAGGAGCACAGGGACTGGACTCCTGTTAGTGCCCAGAGTCAGAACTAAACATGGGGAGGCTGCTTTTCAGATTCATGCTGCTAAAATCTGGAACAGTCTTCCTGAAGATGTGAGACAGGCCTCCTCTCTGACAATGTTTAAAACCAGGTTAAAGACAGTTCTGTTTAGCTGTGCTACAACTGAGGGATTTTATATTTGTATCTTTCTTTTTAATGTTCTGTGATTATTTATGATTTTAATGCTTTCTTGTTTTGTTCAGCACTTTGAATTGCCTTGTGTATGAATTGTGCTATATAAATAAACTTGCCTTGCCTTGCCTTGTGAATATGTTGCTGCTACGGTAACTTCTGATCCGTCAGAATATTGAATTGAAAATGTTTTTTTTCACCAGGGATGATGACGGGGATTTTGCACATATTCAGCAGCTAGAGGAAGCTGTTCCTCAATTGGAAAGGTCTGTGTGCATATGGTTGTTACCATATGGTTGTTACCATATGGTTGTTACCATATGGTTGTTACCTGGTGAATTGGCTACTTGTCTGGAGGCAATGCTCAAACATATATAACAATGCAATCTATGTTTGCTGGTAAGATAGTTGCTTGCACTATGTATCTAGGTGTGGATTCCATTCTCCAATGACTAAGTTGGTATTGTAACCGTCACTGTATGAATTGTAATTTATTTTTATAAATAAAAACTCTACTACGAATCTAACAGCTGCTCTATTCTGATTTGTATGACCACCAAAAACATTCTTCTTAATACTATGTATTGAGAATAAGTAAGTCTTGCTCTCACACAAAGCACAGTCCAAAAACATTTGTACAAGGATCCTGTGAATCCAGGTGACTACCTGGTGATTTAAAAAGACTGATTTTATTGATGATGATATTTCAAAGTAATATTTGTTTAGATAAAACTGATGTCTGCTCTATTGTGTTTCAAAGGACAATCTCTGCCAGAGCAAGACTCCAGTTCCTACAACCTTGGCCCCTGAAGTGTGTGGCTGCTTTTGATTTATTTTGAAGAGCTAGACAAGATGTTGTTGGATTGGATATATCTGACAATGTGTGCTGGTAGCAGTTATGGATAAGGATGAGGATAATGACAACATCCATCTGAACAGTGTTATTCACATGAGCAAGAAGTGTTAAAGTTGCTTCCATCACATGTCACTGTTTGTCTTAGAAAGGAATCACATTGTTTATATTTTTCTGGGCATAACTTCAAGTTTACTTTTACATAATACAGTTTCTTAGAGACTACCTATTATAAAACAGAACAAATTGAATGGGGTGAATGTAAGATGTTTTCTTTTGAAATGGTACAACTACAAAGATATTTTAGAACTGCAGGACCCCTGGAGATAAAATGTAAGCGTTGGAAATGCACCATAGACATGCACCATGGGGTCTGCTGAGGACAGCATGTTTGTTTCCATCTCATGGCAACTTTCACAGACGCACCAAGGCGTTTGGACAGGTTTCGAAGGGTCTAGTCGTCCTGCTTGCCCAGTGTTATGACGGAGAGCTAAGTGTATTAGCCCAGCGTCCCGGTTCAGCACTACATGTGGAGGAAGACACGCAGGTGTCCAGTGAAGCAGACACAGCCATTATTAGTGACAGGAGTCTGTGTCATAATAGTTCACAGTCAGCCACAGTTTATGTCCTCCGTGTGGCCACCGCTGAGGTCCAGCTTTTCAGAGTCAGCGTTAAAGAGGTCCGCACATTACTCATTGAGGCCGGGAACGCAGTCCCGTGTTTCTACCTTTCAAGCCGGGGGCGCTGTTGCGCACTTATACTTTTAAGGCCGGGAAAGTGGACAAGTCTTTTTTTCTTTACCGCTAGTTTCGCGTCCAAATGTAGTCCAAGACGGCCCGCACTCGCAGGTCTCTCCCAAAGATACGACGTAAGCTAGCTATGTTCACCTGGGCTTGACTTCTTCTTTGATCATTTTTTTGCTTTAGTTCCCTCTTCTCTTCCTGACTGTTGGATCGTTTGGGCTGTTTGGCTGTGTCTGCAGTTACAGCCAGAGGTATAGCCACTTTCTGCTAATATGCTACTGTGTTCACATCCACTGTAGACGCTAGAGGAGACAGCGCGTTCGAGACAGCGCTGCTCCTCGTTCTGTGATCGGAGGAGAAACTTTTCCTGTTAACAAAGATCAGCCCGTTCTCTTCCTGCCTATGCTAGCCTATGGCTTTTAGGTGGGTTTTAGTGACGTTTTGTAGTAATTAGATTGATACGTCCAGCTGAGACTGACCCAAAAGTGTCGCTGTGCTTTCTCTCTGAGGTAGAGCTGTGACTGTGGCCACTCAGAGAGATTAGTTAACTTTATAAAAACACAATAACGGCACAATCAAAGAGCACTGCAGTGTCCCAAAAATGCCCAGTATCTTCACAGTTTAATTCCTGTTTGATCATTATTTGGGAAACTCGTGTAAACCACTGCTGAACTCCAGTGAAACTCAAGCCGTTCCCCGCACACAGGAAGTGAAGTGGGGTTGTAGCTAAAACGTGGAAGTGGTGCGTGCGTAGAGCCCATTAATAAGAAAGTTAGGTTTATGCTAAGTGGAGTGCGGTGGAAGAGTTATAGGGCTTTTCACCAGGCTGTCAGAGTAGTTGCAATTACTGTATTTTTCTTTAGCAGTTGTGTTTATTCAGGGATAGGTTGAGTAAAGGTAAGTCTGATATATATATATATGTGAGATATTATTGCAGTATGTGAGTTTTAATTTGGTTGTTAATTAAAAGGTTGTTAGGTGATGGTGTATCCATTTCGTGAGGTAAATGATTTGTTAATATGAGCATTCCATTTCCATGTATTATTGTAATAATAATTATTAAATGATTATATAATGTCATGATTTATAATTAAAGGAGCAATATGTAAAAATCTGGCCAAAAGTGGTACTGCAGTCACAGTCAATATTTTGTAGTCCTCTCCCACTCTCCCTGACTCAGGTTGCCAGATTCACACCAAATCCAGCAGCAAACACAGGGAATTATTTTATCAGTTGTTTGTCCGTCTCCATTCACATTGCCATGACAGCCGTGCTAATGCTGAATGAATGTTTTGATTAATGTTTTTTTATTATTATTATTTGGACATTTGAGATAAAAAACAAAAACAAAATAAAAGCAATGTAATTATACATAGTTTATGCAAAATAAATAAGCAATTGATGTCCAAAATAGGAGTGGGAAGAATGGATGTTGGAACGTATTTCTTCAGCATATCAACATCAGGGTTTGCTCAAGAGGATATCACCTTTCAATTTTATTTATTCCCTATTTTTTAGACAAACATGTAAAAGTCCCACATCAAAAAGAGACTAACATTATTTTAATTGGGGTACATGTGGTCTTAAATGATTATTTTTACAATTAAGCTATAATCTGCAAAAAAACGTCTTGACCTTCATCTTTTACCGTTTTTAGAGCAATCTGTCATAGAATGTGATAACATGCAATAAATACAAAAAGACATAGCCCGGGATCGAACCCGGGTTCCTGCGTCGTAAGCGCACACCTTAGACCACTAGACCACCGATTCACACGAATAGAGACACTGTGAAGAACGGACTCAAACTAGAAAATTTTGATCAGCTGTCTCAATTGTTCAAAGGCATCCCGATATAAATCCTCGTTTTAGTCTTTGTTTTGTCATTAATGATTTGAGAGTCATAACAAGACCTTTTTTAGTTCTGTGCCACATGTTATTTTACCACTGAGATTAATGAGCCGCGCGGGGTTCTGGCAACCGGATCACGGACTTACATGACACTTCCTGATTGGCGAAACGGCGGAGGGTAGGACATCAAAATCAAAACAATAACAACTTTTACGGGTCGTAAAACTAATTTTGATAATCAAATATCTCGGCTGAACTACTGTTATCAGTTAAAGATGTATTCGAAAAGAGTATGATTTAATAACGCCTTTTGAAATATTCGGGTCATTTAATGATGACTTGACATGCAAATATTACATATTGCTCCTTTAAATGTCAATAAAACATTGAAAAATGTGTCGTATATTTTCTGTTTCTGAGTAGTTCATGATATTAATACTTAAATGAGTAAAATGAGTTGATACTATGTAGATCATGAGTAGTATACTTTTATTTTGATGTTGATGAATATTTAACATATCACCTAATCATTGTTCATTAGCTGGAAACACTTAGGTAATGAGTATTAGATGTGAATTTCAACATTCCTAATGAATTAACAATCATTAAGTATTTATTATATATTTGTAAATGAGTTGTTAATAATTAGCTCATGAGTAGCACATGGTTATAATAATGTTTACATGTGAATAATCAACATTTGATAATGAACTAATAACAATTAGTAAATCATGTGTGAATCATTTATGAATGATTATAAACACTTAAATAAAACATGTCTTAATGATTACAAGATTATTTGTTCTTTAGTAAGTAATGGTTTCCAGAACAGTAACAAATAACACTTGTTAATGAGTTGTTAATGTTTAGATGATTATTTTTTATATAAATAAGACATAAGTTAATGTTTTATTAACTAGTAGTCAATGATTTATAAGCAAAAGCAGTATTATAAAGTGTTACCGGTTTTTCTAGTGTTTCATAGTTGATCTTTAACAAAAAGTGTTTTTTACCTGGTGTTGCATACTGGTCACAGAGGGTCTTGAGGGTCCGCACCGCCTCCTTGTTCCTGTCGCACTGCAGAAGTCCTGAATTCTGATGGAAAAGCACACGCACTTCCTCCTTTAAACAGGGATAGTGTTTGCTCCAGCAGGTTCTGTCCAGGACTTCGTTTGGGTCAAAAGTGTGATGCATCAGAACCAACACCACAGGTTTGTCTTTTGCTCCATCTGTGAACACATGATAATATATATATTGAGACAGAGTACTATAAAATCATGGATCATGTAATGTTTTCTGTGGTTTCAGATTATTATTGTTATCTTGGGAAAATGTTTTACCGGTTTTTCTAGTGTTTTCACCTGAAGGCATGCACAAAAGTCTCACTTGTGAGTAATTTGCGTTCAACTGATAAAAAGTTTTTTTTCAAAGCAAACCGACATAAAATTGCTCCCTAGAAAATGTTGACATCTTTTTATATTTGAACCTGAACATGTATAGTTAAGAGTAGCTAAACACAATTCAAAACAGTGATCTACATGAGATAAGCCTAAATGAATGAATTGTTTGAATGGTTTTTCACCCCAATTACTTACTACAGTATGTTCTTGACCTGGCTGAGTATCATCTATGAGGAGAAAATTACATTACATAGCGGCTGTATCAGGGTTAGTGCCAATGGAGAGGCAGACCGGAGCGGTGGTCACTGTCTTCAAGAAGGGGGACTGGAGGGTGAGGTCCAAATGTTATGGGACCACACTCCTCAGCCGGTCAGGTATACTCCAAGGTACTGGAGAGGAGACTCTGACTGATCGTCGAATCTCGGATTCAGGAGGAACAGTGTGGTTTTTGTCCCAGACACTGGACTCAATGCATCATGGGATTTTGTCCAACCTGTCCACATGTGCTTTGTGGATTTGTAGACAAGACATTTAACTGTGTTCTTTGGGGGGTTGTCCGGGGAGTAGGGGTCCTCTGCTGAGGGCTGTACGGTCTCTGTATGGCCGGAGTCAGATCTACGTTTGCATCGCCGGCAGAAAGTCAAACCTGTTGCAAGTGCATGTTGGCCTCAGCCAAGGCTGCCCTTTGTCACCAGTTCTGTGCACTTTTTTCATGAACAGAATTTCTAGGCACAGCCAGGGGCAATAGGGCGTCCGGTTTGGGGACCAAAGCAGAAGAAGATAAATGGAGAGGCTGAGCAAGAGGGACGCAAGGGATCCTTCAAATTTTATCCCACATTTAATCAAGCTACAAATTCATTCACTGGATGCCCTTCATCAATTTTAGATAGTACACACAAGGGTTACCTGGAGCCGGTAGGGGGGAAGTGATGGTGAAATTCATAGGAAATGTAAAATGCGTAATAGAAAATGAAAGAGGGAAACATGCAATGGTGATTTTCTGATTTCAAACATTGTATTCAAAGTTTAAATGCACATGTCTGAATGATTGAGCCACTGTCTTTTGTGTTCATGTAGTTACTTTGTCTCAGAAGGAAATCCTCGAAACTTGATTTGTGTCAGTGTGAAAAGCAAACCTGGAATCTTTCTGACGGCTGCATCAAGGTCAGATGCGATGCGGTTCGTGTCAGGATTGGACAAAACAGCAGAATGACATCGCTCTGGTGTAGATCATGTGTAGGTGTGATGCCCTGAGCGGTCAGCTGGTCCAAGATCTGCCGGTCAGCTCCATTTGTCCGAGCTGAGATGATGGAGAACACCTTCACTAGCTTCTGCCCTGAAGATGGATGATATAACACATTATTAACACAATAATTATGAATCATGAACCTTGGCTCTTTGCATCACAGGTGCAACTCACCTCGGGCTTCGTTGGACTGAAACTGCAAGAGTAATGTAATTAATACATTACTAATTATTACTACTGAAAATATACTTCAGGAATTCCAGTACTTACATTTACCTCTGAAGAGCCGATTGCATTCCCTGGAATGGGGGGAGGATAATTAATAACATATCGTAACAAAGTACAGCCGCAAGAGACGATCAGCGGTCCTTGTTTACACCAACCCATGGATTGATAGATACTTTATTGATCCCTGTAGAATTTCTTGTGTCCAGTAGCAGCAGAAACACATCCATCCATACAAACAAAACAAATAAATAGATAAATCTATTATCTATTTATTTTTCTATTCACTATAATCTATTTATCACAGCAGCAGAGGCGGTGTAGCCGCTTGGTTTGGATAATTTTCTCTACTCTAGTCCAGAGTGAAATGCTGACTGCTTTGTTAGTATTTTTTGAGTGGATCTCTGCTTGATCTGCTTGGTTCGGTCCGTGAACCATGGACTTGTTTCCGGCGCATTCAAAAGTGTATTAACGTACAGCCAGTTTAGCCTTCATATAAACATCTTATATAAGGCTGTTTATTTGTTTCTGCTCAAAAACAGATTTGTTTTTAGTTTTTTTGTCTCTTTGAATCTTAAATTAGCTATGTGTAAGATTGGCATGTCAAATCATCTTTAAATGGCCCTAATATGTCACACGGCATTAATAAATCATGGTCTCTTCGAATACTTCTTTAATGAGAAAACAAGGAGTAAAAAAAGGATTTCTATTGGAGATGCCTTTGCTTTTGAGACAATTGAAGGCAGAGAAGAACTTTCCGTCTGATGCAAAACTTGCAAGTAAGTAAGGCATCAATGTTTTCATTACTTTCATTAAATATTTTTTTCTCAACGTGCCGTTGTCATTAAAGGCTTTGTTAAAAACATACTGTCGATTAACAGCAGTAATATACCCATGTTCTGCTGCAGTCGAATAATAGAGAGCCATTCTATGTTATGTCCAAAGATGAAAGGATGTGAATATGAAACCACAATATCAACAATTGCTATTCAGAAGCTGCAATGATTACATTTTCCTGCTAGATGTCAGCGCTACAAGCTAATCTGAGCTAGTTCAGAGGCTTCGAAACATTTGAAACAGGACAGCCACTATGTTTTACGAGATTGATCTGTCATCACTACTGTCCAGCATTGGATGTGCATCAACAGCTACATGCATAGACCATGTCTTAGCCCACTAGCTAATACATTTTAGCAGGGTAATGCCAACAATCTATCCCAACTAAAATGTTGCTGAGTAACTTTATATCTATATTTGGGTAAGCGATATTTGTAAAATGTGGCATATAGATATAGTCATATTCAGAGATGCTCTTCTGGATACCTTGACTGTAACAAGTGGTTGTTTGAGTTACTGTTGCCTTTCTATCAGCTCGAACCAGTCTGGCCATTCACCTCTGACCTCGGGCCTCAACAAGGCATTTTATGCCCGCAGAACTGCAGCTCACTGGATATTTTTTCTTTTTCGGACCATTCTCTGTAAACCCCAGAGATTTGTGTGTGAAAATCTCAGTAGATCATCAGTCTTGGAAATACTCAAACCTGTCTGATGATTTTGACCATGTCTACATACCTAAATGCATTGGTTTTCTGTCATGTTGGCTGATTAGGAATTAATATAATAATAAAGCGGCCAGTGAGTGTATATATTGTCTTCTTGATTATTACTTAGATATAAAGTAACAGTTACCTATTAACTACAGTTCCATGAGTGAGTGCAATGTACAGTTGGTATCAGTCGTTACTAATACAATAATAGATCAAGCTATAAATGTATATAATATGTACTTGAATTTGTTACTAATGATACTTCAATCATGTAATAACTAGGGCCGGGACTTAAACGCGTTAATTACGATTAATTAACACCACAAAATTAGTGCGTTGAAAAAAACTGACGCGTTTAAATCGCATGTGTTTTTTCCACCGCGGAACCTTCCTCACTGGAGGATGACTTTCAGACGGACCGATTATACTGGAGCGCCAACTGAGCTCCGTGATTTTTCTTGTTCAAAAGTACATCATAACAAGTAGGGCCGGGCAATATAAACGGTATAAGCGATATCAATTTGGCCAATGGTAGAGATCTTTGTTATACCGGCATATTGCGATAGGTCATTATGTCATCAAATTACTGGGTTCCACGAGACGAAAGTGCTCCGAGGGACAGGAAGTACATTGGCGTGTACAGTTGTGGCAACTGCTCATTTCAAGTGGGAAACTTATGAAGTCTCTACTTTGCTAAAAAATATTTCTCTAACGGGTGTCAATTTTTAGGAAAATGCCTAATAAGGAACGGGAGAAATGCGCTAGCATTAGCATTAGCTTGCGTAGCATCTGCGACCACAGAGATAACTGACAGTCCGCAGTCTTTACTTCGCTTTCTTTCATAGGTACAATGCAGTATTTTTGTGTGGTATATGGTTGTAGTAACCAAGGCAACAGAAAGAAAGAACTGTTAAATACATTTTCTAATTGCAGTTTTGCACAATACATTTAAATAAGTAACAATCTTGACTATTTCATTCAAGAACCTGCTAGACCTATATTTAAATTCACACACCAAATTATATCGCAATATGAATTTCAGGCCATATCGCCGACCCCTAATAACAAGCATAGACCAACTTTAGCGGTGTCTAAATCTGAGTGAATTAGATCCATGGTTAGAGACGGGAAAGAGCGCTGTGTATGGAGCTATGGTGTGTGAGGAGGAGCAGCAGCAAGCGACTCCTCAGAGAAGGAGGAGGAGCAGCAGCAAGCGACTCCTCAGAGAAGGAGAAGGAGGAGGAGCAGCAGCAAGCGACTCCTCAGAGAAGGAGAAGGAGGAGGAGCAGCAGCAAGCGACTCCTCAGAGAAGGAGGAGGAGCAGCAGCAAGCGACTCCTCAGAGAATGAGGAGGAGCAGCAGCAAGCGACTCCTCAGAGAAGGAGGAGGAGCAGCAGCAAGCGACTCCTCAGAGAAGGAGGAGGAGCAGCAAGCGACTCCTCAGAGAAGGAGGAGGAGCAGCAGCAAGCGACTCCTCAGAGGAGGAGGAGGAGGAGGAGCAGCAGCAAGCGACTCCTCAGAGAAGGAGGAGGAGCAGCAGCAAGCGACTCCTCAGAGAATGAGGAGGAGCAGCAGCAAGCGACTCCTCAGAGAAGGAGGAGGAGCAGCAGCAAGCGACTCCTCAGAGAAGGAGGAGGAGCAGCAAGCGACTCCTCAGAGAAGGAGGAGGAGCAGCAGCGACACAGGTGTGTGAGCTGCTATTGTTGATGTTGTAGTTAGAATGCACAAACGTATTATAAGCTTTACTTCACGTTGAGTGCAGTGGACTTTGGTTACAAAGTTTATGTTGTTGTCAGAGTGTGTGGAGGCGATGACAGAAATCGAAGAACATGTGTTGCTTAAGCTTATCTATTCAGTCATTATTCAATGGTAAACTAAAAATCCATATGAAAAAAAATTACTTCTCACTGTTCTCAGGACAAATATTTACATGTGATTAAAATGCGATTAATTAATCACAAAGCCTTTAATTAATTAGATAAAACAATTTAACCGAGTCCCAGCCCTAGTAATACATTAATATACTTTCTAAATTAAACCCAAGAATCTGTAATAACAACATAAAAACTGCTGACTGGAATAAATGTACTTACATGTATTAGTTCATAATTTTCAGAAATACATGATTACATGTAATTTAGTGAGCAAGTTAAAAAGAGCTTTCATAACAGCAGTACTCACCCATCTTAGAAACCTCAGAGGCTTCGACTCTGTCTTTGATAATGAAGGAAGTGCAGAATGTGCGACAGAGAATGCAGTCTGTGCTTTGCATTATCCACAAAACACACCCACAGGAGAAAAGAGGAGGAGCCATGGAAACCAACTCTGCTGATATGGCAATTATTTAATGACATGTGTAAATGGTGAATAACCCACTGTTCAACTCACCACTGAATCACCCATCACCACTGAAGCAGAGTAAAGTTAACGTTGTTTTTCCAATAGGAGAAATGCAGGTAATTAACTCAGCTTTAAATTGGAGCTAACCAAATTATTTATACTTGCACATGTTTTGAATCGGACACTATAGTTATAAGGATACAATTAAAGAAGAAACAATGTTCCTTGTGTTCCTTCCTGTTCTTTGGCCATTAAAAACTATATTGATACCTTTTAACTTTGTAATTCCATGTCTTATATACATGGTGAAACAAGTATGAAGCGACCACCAGAGAGAGGTGTTTTCTTTTTTTATAAAAAAATTACCAACTGCACAGTAGGGATGTGAAGATTCACAGATTCGCATCGCTGGTCCGATACAAACGTCTGCGATGCAACTACACGGATACATTCATGGCGCATTGGATATAATTTAGGTGTGAATTGGCGGTGCACCTCTTCCAGCCTGTCTGCATCGGTAGATTCCATGGTTAAATCGATTGTTCTATTTGCTGCCCTGACTTATTTCCGAGTAAACCTGAATGCACCATCGCTTCCTCGGGCTCTGACGTAAGCTTCGGGTCCAAAACAAGCATGAACGCTCACAATATAAATGGCAAGGAGATTTTTAATGGCCCCCAAAAAACAAGTCAAGCGTGCGGAAATGCCGGGCGGCGCCTATCAAATACGTGGGCAGCACAACGAACCTGGCAACGCATCTGAGAAGACGGCACGGCGTGGATACCTCCGCGGCTGCTGCCCCTTTCTCTCCTTTGGATTATACCGAAAGTTGGCGACGCGAGCAGTAGGTCTATCACAAACTTCTTTGGTCAAAACACGCCTCAAGCAGCTCTGCCTGCTCCCAGGCCTTAACTGATGCTATGATAATAAGATATACTTTATTAATCTCCCACATGAGAAATGTACTGCTATAGCAGTTAGTTAGTCTACCTCATCTCCAAAGATATCCAGCCCTTCAGCGTTTTAGAGAATGAAGGATTCAAATAAATAAATACTCTGTACATACTGAATAATGTTTTTTTCAAATAGGATTTCTTGGTTTTCTCCATAATAATAAATATAGCGCTTTTCAAGAACTCAAAGAAGCTTCACAAATTCAAATAACCATAACCAAATATTAAATACATCCCTCATATTGATAGAGTAAAGCAGAATTTGAGGTAAGAAACCTGATGTGGACTAATAAACTCTCATACTAACTGTATCGAACAGGATCACATCATGTCAAACCGAATCCCGTTGCAAATCAGTCATATCGTTATTAAATCATCTTTGAAACGCATCGAATCGTGAATAGGAACGAATCGTATTGCATCGTATCGACAGGGACTTCAGTGTATCGTTAATGTATCGAATCGCTGGTAGTGTATCGAGATGTGTATCGAATCGGCCTCAGTGGTGGAGATATACATCCCTACTGCACAGTCATGCATTTGTAAAGAAAGTCAGTTCACATGAGAAACTAGCAACACTCATTTATGTTGGGTTAGAAAACTGCTCTGAGATTGATGTCATAGTGGGTAGAAACACAAGTAAAACACGCAGAGTATTTGTCATATTAACAAACTGTAACACTTTCCACAGGGCGTGGATACAAATATAATCTTGTTTATATGGGTGGCACGGTGTGCTTCACAGCCAGGTCCTAGGTGAGATTCCACTGCACGCTCTCCCTTTTTTTTCGTTCTCCTACCACTAAAACCACATACAATAGTTAAAATGTTCCAGCTCTGGTCACTGGACAGTGTCGATCATTCACCATTGAAACAGCTGAACCTAAAATATCATTTAGGTTAAACTTTCAGATATGTGTGAGTCAGATACCATAATTAGAACATTGTGTAAAACTTCTGATTTATGTTATTATGGCTTACAGTAAAAAAATAAAATAATTACAGCTAAAAGTGCCACCCTCTCATCAGTTCATTGATCCAAAACACCAGCATGTCAAATAGATCATTGTCACCACCATCTCTCATTTGGATGACATTCGGTACAGTGATAGAGCAGTTAAGGATTTACCAGATTTCAGTCCTCTGTTCCAAGATATTATCTAAAATATAGATGTTAGATATAAAACAGGAATAAAACAGATGTTTTTCAAAGCCAAATAAATTTTTTTGACTCCAAGTAACTTTTTTGTTTTGCTCTGTATATTATTACATTATGAAGGACAATACAAATGTGAATGCCATCCACAGACAACATTTCAGGTCAATCCGTCCAGAGGTTTTAGTCCTGCTAACAGACAAACACACACACACGTACGTATTGCACTCCTGGAATTAGGAGAAGAAACACAAGAGCGAAATGTGTGTAAATACCAACCAATTTCCCAGTGCAAAACCATTCGCTCAATCATTGGTCAGGCTTACAGTATGTAGCCCATCTAAAGATCAGTTGTACACAAAATAGAACAAGGGGCGACAGTAGCTCAGTTGGTAGAGCATTGGCCTTTGGGCCTGAAGGTCGTGGGTTCGAGTGTACTGGGTGCAGCTCTGACTGCCACCCCCCCGACCCAGAAATGGATTAAGGGGAAGAAAATGGATGGATAAATCTTGTCCTTTCAACGCACCACCCAGCATAGGCCTATTGGTGTGTTCACACCGCACTCTGCGTCGGCTTTGTGGGCTTCAGGTTTGCCTTTATAATGAATGGTGGCATACGTCAAGTGGCGCAGAGAGGTCGGGCGTCATTTGGCGCGCATCAAAAGCGTTGCTTTTGGAGTTTTGGAGCGTACGTTTTCGGTCCCTCGATGCCAAAGTTGAGAAAGGCTGAGCTTTTCGAGCTTGACGCAGGCCGCCAACTAATCGAGAGACAAGGTGGAGAACCAGCAGCAGCATCAGGGCTTTCAGATGAAGAGAAGTCATGTAGCTGCCTGCATTTCTATTTTGTTGTCATTATTGTTATTATTAGCAATATAATTTATACGAGTAGTAACGTTCTAAATAAGTAACAAAATCAATGTACACATACTGTGGAGTAAAAGTAATTTATTTTATATAAGAACAAGCTGACGCTGAGTTTGGCTCAGACACAGAGCAGACTGCTGGACAGTAGACTGCTAGACAGGCGCTCGATTCCAATGGAAGAGCGCCTGTCAATCAGTCGGCTGTCCAGCAGTCTACTGTAGTTGGTGTCCTGGTGCCTTTAATTGGTGTCCCGACAGGCAATGCTTGTACGTAAACAGGCACATGCACATTTCTGATGTGCATGGGCAAAGTCATTGATTATTTTGTCTGCAACTCCATCCATCCATCCATTATCTACCCCTTAATCCATTTCTGGGTCAGGGGGGTGGCAATCAGAGATGCCACACAAGTCACATAGCACCAGCCCCTCACTGACCCTCTGCAGGTGGTGAGTCCACAGGAGGAGGGCTGCTCTGTAAGTGTGAGCATAGCCTTGATCTTTCAGCGGGGGCCTCATGTTAGTTCGCTAACACACCTACTAAAAAAAAAATTGTCTGCAACTGTCTTTCCTAATTTTGACGATGTGACAGGCCTGTGTATACCCACTAAAATTATCCATTAAAACCCATTTATACTCCTCCAGAACATGTATCAACAGGAAAGAAATCTATAGACACAAGTTCAAACGGTTACGTTTTGATGATACCAGTCAATGGCAAACTTGTTTGGTGACTTGTTTTTTTAGGTGAATGTCTTTTTACATGTCGGGCCAGAAAAATGTACTTGGCTGCCAGCACAAGGAAACTAATCCTTTCCTTGTGCTGGCAGCACAACCTGCTTGTGTTGAACAACTTGTTTCCTTGTGCTGACAGCACAACTTGGGCTGTCTTTGTCCTGTGTTAACCCTCTAGGCACAGAGGGTTAACACAAGATTCAATACTGTTTAAAACTACCAATTGTGTCAAACTTTAAGTTTTCAGATAATGACCTGGGGCCGTATTCCTAAAGATTCTTAGTGCTAAGAAATGCTCCTAGTGGCCAAATTCTAAGAAAATTCTTAGAATCTTGACGTACTCTTAGAATTTCCACTAAAAGAGAAGAGTAGATCTTAGTTAGGAAAAAAAGCTATTCCTAGAGAATCCTAGCTCTTAACCCTCTAGGCGCCACGGTCGACTTAAGTCGACAAGCTGCGGTACTGTTTAAAACGGCCGAGTGCGTCCAACTGAGTGTCAAAATTCATTCATACTCCCTGCCACTAGTTGGCAGACATGTCAGACTACCTCCCTGGCCCCAAAAAACATCATGCTCCCATACAAAATATTCGAGCAAGACCGCGTTGAACCAGTGCGGTGATCATAGTGAAGCGAATGCAGCTGCGAGGGCATGCCATCTACCCTCACAGGTAGATGGCATGCCCACTCAGTGCAGTCCCACTCTGATGGCCCTGGAGACTTGCGGGCTCAGAGGAGAGACCCGCAGCGGTTGGTCCAGACCGCTGGCCCGAGTACCTTGGCCACTGGCGCTTTCTCCTCCCGGAGAGGAGTAAAGCGGTAAAGGTCAGGGGGGCTGATATAAGTGGGGCCGGTAACCCCCTCTGTCTCACGCAGCATCTTACACGGGGGCTCTCTGCCCTTCGGGCCACCCCCCCTCTCCTCTGGGAGCACCAGGAGGAGGCGGGGCTCTCGGGATAAGTGCTACCAGTTGTATATCTCTGAGAATTCTCAGAAACGTCTAGTTGTCCCTGCACCTTGTAGGCAGCTGATTTTGAATGTTGCGCATACACTTCCGTGGGCTGGACATTTTGCTCGCCATAAGACCTACTTGCGTGTTAGTTCCCGTTTCTATTGGCCAGGGATGTATCGTGACATTGAACAGTTTTGCACCACATGTCCGACATGTCAAAAGACCGCTCCCACGCGCAAATCTGATCGTGCACTTCTCCATCCACTGCCCATTATTTCTACACCGTTTCGTAGAATAGCAATGGATATTGTTGGCCCGCTAGTAAAGAGCGCCCGTGGTCACCAATATATTCTTGTACTCTGTGACTATACGACCAGATATCCAGAGGCATTCCCACTCCGTACAATCACTGCACCCACTGTTCTTCGTGCCATGGTTCAACTGTTTTCAAGAGTCGGAATTCCAGATTAAGTGTTGACGGACCAAGGGACTAACTTTACATCTCGTCTCTTACAGTTGTTTCACAGGCAGCTTGGGATCACTGCACTCCGAACCACACCCTATCACCCTCAAACTGATGGACTCGTGGAAAGGTTCAATCAAACCCTGAAAAGGATGCTCCAAAAGTTTGTCAGCGACACAGGAAAAGACTGGGACAGATGGCTGCCATTCCTTTTGTTTGCATATAGAGAGGTACCGCAGGCATCCACTGGATTCTCCCCTTTTGAACTGTTGTATGGCTGGCACGTTCAAGGACCGATGGATATTATAAGCAAAGCTTGGACAGCCCCAGAGACTAACTCAAATGAGCAGGGCATTGTGCAATATGTTTTACAGATGCGGGACAGGTTGGCAACCTATCGCGATGAAGCGGAAGAGAACCAGAAGGAGGCTCAGAAGAAGCAGAAAACCTGGTATGACCAGCAGTCAAGACAACGAGCGTGTCAGCCAGGTCAGAAAATTCTCCTACTACTTCCCTCCTCCAACAGCAAGCTGTTGACCAAGTGGCAAGGGCCATACACAATCACCCGAATGACTGGCCCGGTCACGTATGAGCTTCATCAGCCTGACAGAAAGAAGACCCGGCAGATCTACCACGTGAATCTCCTGAAAGAGTGGAAGGAGCCATCCATCCAAGCGCCAGAGATGTCACTGCTGGTGAGGCAGGTGGAAGAGGCAGAGGATGAAGACCCCGGTGTACCCATCGTCACCGATCCCTCAGAACCCCTCGTTGCACACCTTGCTGCAGACCAAGCTGCCGATCTCCTTGAAGTCTTCAGAGGAACGCCCTCACTGTTTGCTGCCGAACCCGGAAGGACAACGCTGATCGAGCATGTCATTCGTCTCAAGGACCAAAATCCTGTACGTCAGCGACCCTACCGTGTCCCTCAGCAGCTGGTGGCCCAACTTCGGCAAGAAGTAGAGTCCATGCTGGAGCTTGGAGTCATCGAGCCGTCTACATCAGAGTGGTGTAGTCCAGTTGTTATTGTTTTTAAGAAAAATGGATCCTTGAGGATCTGCATTGATTTCCGGAAACTCAATGCCATCTCAGAGTTTGATGCATACCCGATGCCGAGGATTGATGATCTCCTCGATCGCATTGGCTCAGCAGGCTACATCACAACCCTGGACCTGTGTAAAGGTTATTGGCAGGTGCCGCTGGAGGCTTCAAGCAGACCTTACACCGCGTTCAGAACGCCAGCCGGACTTTTCCAGTTCACGGTAATGCCCTTCGGTTTGCACGGTGCCCCTGCAACATTCCAGCGTCTGATGGACCGTGTACTGCAAGGATGTGAAGAGTTCAGCGCTGCATACCTGGATGACGTTGTCATTTTCAGCCCAACCTGGGATGAGCATGTGCGTCACTTGAAGGCCGTGCTGAGGAAGATCGAGGCAGCTGGTTTGACCCTAAATGTGGCCAAATGTGAGTGGGCTCGCCGTGAAACCCGGTACCTCGGTTACCAGCTCGGTAGAGGAGAGGTGCGACCGCAGTTGGATAAGGTGGAAGCTATCCAGAAGTGTCCTCGTCCTCGAACCAAGAAGGAGGTTCGATCCTTCCTGGGTCTCGCTGGATGGTATCGGAGGTTTGTGCCGCAATTTGCCACAATCGCAGCACCACTCACAGCCCTAACGACAAAAGATAAAAAGAACCCGGTAACATGGACAGAAGCATGTGAAGAAGCTTTTAATACTTTAAAGAATCTGCTTTGTTCTTCTCCAGTTCTCCGCAGTCCAGATTTTGACTGTCGGTTCCTCGTGCAAGAAGATGCCTCGGAGGTGGGTCTGGGAGCTGTACTTACCCAAGGAGAGTCTGGGGCCGAGCAGCCGATCCTGTACCTGAGCCGCAAGTTATTACCCCGAGAATCCCGCTACTCCGTAGTAGAAAAGGAAGGATTAGCCATCAAATGGGCCCTAGAGAGTCTAAAATATTACTTACTTGGTAGAGAGTTTGATCTGGAAACGGACCATAGAGCCCTCACATGGATCAACTCTATGAAAGACCACAATGCCCGTCTAACTCGATGGTATCTTTCATTGCAGCCCTTCAAGTTTGCTGTCCGCCACCGTTCTGGCAGATCCAATTTGGTAGCCGACTACCTGTCCAGGTTGCCAAAACTTTGTCAACCTTCGGGAGGAGAAGGATAATGTGACGGAGCAGCCTCCGTCAATGCCCAGGGCAGTCTCCCCAGTCCGCGCGCACTTCCCCCGCACACACACACACGCATACATACCTAACTCACTTGCCTGTTTGTCGTTCCTGTTCCTTGTCAGTCCGTTCCGTTCCCATCCTCGTTCATTAATTCATCCCAGTTGTCTTGGGTGCACACTAGGCCTCTGGTTAACCATTCCCATCCATAGTTTTGCACTCCATAAAGTTTCCACTCAGTATCCGTCTCCCCACCAAACTCCAACCCGGCAAACCGAGCGCAGTCCGCGCTTCCTGTTTTGAGCGCCTCGCACGTACGTCTGCGTCTGACGTATTTGACGTCATCGGGGTTTTTTTTTTGGAAAATGTATTTTATTATTTTTCCTCTGTAGTCTACAGGTGCAGAGGAGAACTCTACAGTAGAAGAGTTGATTGTGGATTTATCCATATTTTTGTTATTATGAACGTAATCATGGTTTATGTAGAAACTAAAAGTTTATGACTTAATTGACATGTAGGAGGAGCCAGAGAGGTTTAAGACTAGGCCAGCCTCTACTGTCAGTGTCAGTGTGAGTCTGAACTGGGACAGAGGAGGTAAGCCAGGAGACCTTCTTGCAATGTGGTTTTTTTTTCTGTAAATACTGTAAATATGTTTATTAATCACTGGTTTGTTTTTGGTACAGCACTCCTCTTCAATACTTCAATACTTCTATACTTCAATACTTCTATACTTCAATACTTCATTCTTAATTACTTTATTCTTTATTTTGGGAATAAAACTTTAAAAGTACTCTGGCTGCGCCATCATCTTATTTCAAATTCAGAACCCCGTAACAGTTCCACAAGCACCAATGCCCATACTAAAGAGGTCCATGAAAAGTTTTGGGCTCGTGTAGAAATTGTCAACATACAGGTAGTAACCACTACCCAGGAATGAGGGCTTTATAAGGGACATAACAGAATCGTAGGCAAGCCCCACACCAGAGGAAAACTGGGACTTCCCTGTGTAGATTACAAAGTCCACAGTGTAGCCATTGAAGCTATCTGCCAAGACAAAGAGTTTGAAGCCTCACTTTGTTGGTTTCGCCTTCATGTACTGGGTCATCCCTGTGTGGGCCTTTGTTGCCACCATTCTCTCATCAATGGAAATGTTTTGTCTTGGATTATAGTGGGCTTTACAGGCTGTTAGGATTGAGTCCAAAAGTGGCTTCGGTCTGAAAGGTTTATCAAACTGGCAACGCACATAGCCAGGTTTCCCTGAAAGAAACTGACTGCATTTCTGTTCTTTGTCACCATTTTGTTAGCGCTAATACATTTTTGCCTTACTTGAAGTGTTGTTTCTGTTTAATGTATGTTTTAATTTAAAATGCTTTAGGTAAACACTTACAGCTAACGAGACGTGAAGTCAAGTTAAAAGTTGTTCATAGTACCTAGTTTTGTTTTGAAACGTTACTCTATGATCCTTCTTATTCAGCCCCAATTATAGGCAATGTCAAATCAGACATTTAGCTTTGGAATGGAATGGTTCACTAGTGGAAAATAAAGTACCACATACTTTGATTAGTCCATTTGTACCTTTTCTCGTGCACAGAGTCATAGAGAATATTGTGCATGAGAAATACTCTGTTTAACACACACCACATTAAAGATAGAGTATGAATTTTAAATATTAGAAACTGCAATCATGTAAATAGACTTTATGTAGGTGAGTTCAGAATATTATTTAGGTTCCCTAGTACTCCAATTGATATTACTAAAACCCTTACTGTTTGTGCGAGTATGGCAGATATTAACATTGGGCCCTCAACATTTGTTATCGTCATATAAAGACATTCCTCTGTACTCTGTACTTTCATTTGGTAACATGTTAGTACGCGCCTTTATATTACCTGAGCTTTGGAGAATTCTACAATGTGAAGTTGCTGTTCCCTTATCCTTACATGCTTAATCATAATACAGTGTAATTAAACTGTTTAAAACGACCCTTGATTTAGGGCCGTTTTCACGCCATCTAGTGACCAATGTAGCATACAACAGTAAACAACCGTAGCATATCACAGAGACAAGAGAAAGTAATGCAAACATTGAACAAACCTTGTTCCCTCATCAACCAGGTGCTAAGGGCTGAAACAAACTAGAACATTTTTGTACTCGCCTTATACATTCTCAGAGCTGTGGAGAATTCTACAATTTCAATATGCCAATATATATGCTGTAAAGGAGGGGCCAAAGTAAATCTGCTCATTTATTCTGTAATGTATGGTTCTTCTACAACTACGC